TAAAACATAACAGAGGGAGAATTTACGCGCTGGATTTTCTGGGGTCAAAAGGCTGCCTAGCGCTGGTGAGCTTGTCAAACGAATTGAGCGATTTAAAAAGCTTGTTGTTCCTTCCCGTGTCAATTTGTTGATTCGAAACGTTCGAATCTGTCCTGTCAGGATGTCAAACGGCTTGGTACACGCTCCTTTCTCGTTCCCTTTTTTCCCCCCCGTTTTATTCCTCTAATCGCTGTCACTGACGCTCCTTTTCTTTCCTCGGGCGAGACCGTTCGACAGATACGTCCGTGGGCATCGCACGGAATCGCGTTGCACGTACTGTCACCGTTGGATTCGCGATTGGAGATCGGCGTGAAACGCAGTTCGTTACCTTGAAGAATTCATAATGCGATCATGCGATCGCGCGACAAAATGACCGATATTCAGATACTCGTTCGCACTGATTGCACACTGCCTCGTGTACACTGGACTGATAAGTTTCATCGGCCGGTCGCAATTCCGAGCGGAATTCGAAGCTGTCTAACGCAGCTATGGTTGCAATTTATGGACACGGTTCCGTAACGATTCTCGTCTCTCCTATATTTTTTCCGCCCCTTTTTTCCACCCCCGTTCAGTTTCGTTTCGCTTTTGTTTAATTAACGGACACAGCGAAGCTTAATCGACCGACGAGGAGAGAGACGGGAGCTAGTTACGTCAATTCGTTGCACGCGTTATGCAGGTTTACGCCTGGTATAATTTTTCCATTGTTCGCCGATATTATTCCGTCGCGACGTATCCAGCGTTGAAAACAGCGATTTCTCTGAATAGAGCACGCGCGGTGCTCGTGGCCGTTAACGAATCCGTGGTAACAGCTGCTTCGAGCGTTTCAATCGCCATCGGGTGGAAGTTGTTTCGCGTGGGTTAATCTTGGAAACGATATAAAAGCGATGACTAACTATCGATAACGACGACTTTTCGTATTTCGCCTGTCTCCGGTGATTTATGCCCGACTGGACAGACACGTGCGAGCAATCGTGCACTTCCGGCGTCGCCTCGTGCGTATCGACGGAATATTTCCCAGTTCCCGCGACGAGAAATCGTACAGATGGCACGCTAAGGTTGGATAAACGCGATCGTTGACTTTCTCATATTTTACCCCACGCGAACGTAATTCGCGACCGTGGGAATTTTAAATATTTAGCCAGATGCCTGGAAACGCTGTGCGCTCGCGATCAGTTGCAACGGAAGGTCTAATTGGTGACGCGTATGCGAAACTATTTCTCTAGCGAGTAGTCCAGTCTGTTCGTCGGTGATTTACATGACAAAAGGCAAACAACTGTACGGGAACGTCGAATACTCCGCGATGCAAGACCTCGCGTTGTTTCCGGCGTCAGAGCGTCGCACCATTGTCACGGTTACGCAAGTCCACTCTGTGGAGGTTTCACGAACGCGGAATAGAAAAAGCAGTCGTGCTGAACGATCTTGAAGAAGCAGTGGTTGCGGCAGGAACAGTTATAATTACCGCACTTACCGCACTTACCGCAAATGTCTACGTGTCTGGACAGTTTAGCGCGGCGCTCGAGACTGCCATCGTTGGCACGCAGTTGCCCACCGACGTATGGTCTAGCATTCTTCTTAGTCTATGGCTCGCACCGCGTCCAACGCGTCAGACTACGTATTACCCGCAAAAACGAATTTTTTAGCGTTCTTCTTAGTCCACGTCTCGCAACGTGCGCAACGTGTCAAACCACGTGTTATCCGCAAAAACGAATTTTTTCGCATTCTTCTTAGTCAATATGGCTCGCATCGCGCAACGCGTCAAATCGCGTGTTATTACGTGTTATCCGTAAAAACGAATTTTTTTGCGCTGATCGCGTGTCACGAGTCGCAAATACACCGATGAGATGATTGACAATTTAATTCGAGGTATTTAAAATGAAAATTTAATCGAATTTATTAAATTTGTAGAGGCTAGCAGGTAAAAATCCCGGTTTAATATATTCCAGGAGCTCGAGTCCCGAAAGCAAACTGCATATTAATAGGCGTTTAGTAGAACGTGAAAAGGATTTTCGCTATTCGAACGAATACTCTTGAATAATCGATGAGCAGACCGTTTGCCTGCTACTTCCTCGTCAATGACGTCTCTGTGTATTCGAATTATGCAAAGCAGCGATAACGAGGTATAAGAAATATTCGCTCGTTAGTCGTACAGTTGAATGGACTGAGGGTCGACCAGCGATGCGAAAAGGGGCGACAATTTCGCTGGCCATTTTGCCCCGAATGATCCCATACATCCACGCGATGTCACAATCCAACTTGTACGTCACAGTGACGTTGAAATAGCTTTCGTAAAAGTGGTTAACCAATGGTCTATTGTACGGATTTTCCAGTTTCGCGAAAATGCACCAGCGACGTGGTCTTCTTCGCGTTGACCAGTCTCCCAGAGCGCTGGGTTCCATTCCGTAAAAAAATATGGCGTCGAAATTCAACGAATCCGCGTATTTCCCGGCTCTTCCGTATTGTGCTCGCACTGCCGAATGTGCAAGTGTTTCGGGACAATAAATTTCGATATTATAGTAGACGAATAAATGGTATGGAATCGGAATCGCGAGTCTAGAAACGCCATTTATGTCTCTCCATTCGATTCTAACCTAAAAATTGATGGAAACCGTAGTTCAACGGGCTGTGGAAAAATCGCTCAAACGGTCTTAATAATTATTCGTGACGTAAGTACCGTAATTAGTACCATTACGAAGGCTGTCATTCGCCTTATATTAACGCAACGAAGATAGACACAAAGGACTCGATTTTTCCGCTTTTTTAAACTCCAAAGGGCCATAGATTTTTCCAAAGAACAGCTGAAAGACCGGTAATACCTTTTGGCGGAATATTCGAAACGAATCTGGATCAGCCCCTAATTGATCAACGGACCGAGTTTATTCGCGAAGAATCGCGAATCGGGCCAATTATACGAAACCATAGCGACCGTTTGTCGCGTTGAAACAGTTTCAACGCGATTCAGGGAGTTTCGTCGAGGCGTCGCGCTTCTGTTCGCGCGAGTTTCCCCGTTTAACGGCTGCAACGCGATTACGGGCCTTTTCAGACCGCTCAGCCGGCGGGCGAAATTTCTTCGCGAAATTCCTTCGGCCGGCTCCGTCGCCGATGAAATCGCGGAAGAATGCCTGTTCCGGCGTCGAGAGCTTTCAATCGCGAATCACGCTGTTTACGAGGCACCGTAGCGAACGCACGCGACGTCTTTGGCGACGGGAACTTTCGAGGAAATAGCTTCAATTAAAGAAGACGACGAGACTTCTCGCGTTTCGTTTCTCTCGTGGGAGCCATTGTTTCGTTCCTTCGATACTCAGACGCGGCAACATTTTCGCCAGACCTGTTTCGAAGCACTCCGAGCATTTCGTCTTTCGAATCTCCCGCCTTTGTCCATCGGGTCAAACGCGCCGATCTGTTACTCGATCGTAATCGTGGCAACCTAAAAATAAGTACAGCCTAAAAACGAATACTAGGGAATTTGATCAAATTTCGAAGATCGATGTTAATTAACATATCAAATTTAAGATAACGTAACGGTGGGCGAGGTATCGAAATCAAATAATTCTACGTGTCAATTATTATACTATTTTTTATTTACTGCTCAAATATCGTCAGCTTTATAGTAGAAAATCTTGGAACTCCTACTCTTTTTTAGCCAAAATATCGTCGAGTGCAAAGGGTTAAAACCCCCCTTACCTGCGATCATAAAAATTCCTGGACCCCGATTTTACACTTTTGGAAGAAGAGGCTCGATTTAAATGCGACATCGCGAATTTGCGCAATAGGCAAAGATGATACGCGTGTATCACTTTTAATTACCGGGATGAAATACTGGTCCAAAATTCGTTTCCAAAAATACAAACTCGAAAATAGAGATAGGAAACGAAGCTTTTAATAAGAGTCGATCGATTATCGATATAACAACAAAAAATACTTCAATTTAAGAACAATTTTCTCCCATTCCCGAATTAGCATTTCCGCGATCGATTTTTCGAAATGGAATTGTATTTTTGGAATTAACAATTTGCTCGACATTGTAGGTAAATAAATACCAGAGAATTGTCGCGAAATCGAAGTACCTAACTAGTGTCACTGCCATAAAATGCTCCTCGTGAACGGAAAATTCGAATGCAGCGCAGTCGCATAAGCAGAAAATCCAGTCATGCGACCCATTGACAATGTCAGTTGCAATTATTGTACATCGAAACGATCATTTCGAAAGGTGGAATTATTTTTCGTTTACGCATTCACGATGAAACTAACCTTGTCACCGTTCGCGACATCCGAAGCCTTGAGATTAATTTATACAGGTGCACGGTTATGCCAGTCACGCGCTAAAAATATGTTCTCGATAAGTGACCATAAGCTGGTTTACATAATTTCAACGCTATCTGGAAAACTCGTAGGTTCCGATTCCGGGAACTCTTGCGCGGTAAGTAGATTAATTGCCATTCTCTTTGTCTCCCCCCGTTCCCCCCTTGTCGAAACCGGCGAGCGATTCTGAAACGGTAAATTCTTTCGAGAAACGTTCGATAGCTTAATTGGCATTTCAACGCATTCCAGAGCGAAGGAAGAGCAGTGTGACGGAATAAATTATGAAAATGGTCGGTCTTCGGGGCACCCGTAACGATTCGATCGGTGAATATTTCATGGGAAGTATAATGGGTGAACGAACTTCGCGCCGATTCCTCAAATCACAGGATGAAACATTCTAATTACTCTTACAGGGATCTTTTTATTCTCCTTTTCATTCTTTCGCTCGAGCAAACAATAGCGATTCATCCGGTCGGGTTTATCACGCCAAATACGGATAGATTCGCGAATAAATAATCTGGTCGAAAAATTGAACGAACGCGTAAATAGTCCCGCGATTATATACACGACACGTTGTGTCTCTAGCTCCGACGTAAACACGTTCTCGTGATTAGAATACTCGTAAAAGGAAACGGCATTCCTGCTTTATTCGTCCAAAAGTCGACGTTCCACTTCCTCGGCGACTTTCGCTGGCGCGCGCGCGCGCGCGGCAAAAACGTCCATCAATTTTCCCACTTTCCAGTTACGCGATGCGACGACAAACGCGTAAATCTAATAACAAATAGATGGATAACGCCGGCTGCAACTCCGGGAAATGCACGCTGTCCTCGCGAAACGAATGCATTTGAATAAAGCGGCACGCTCGTAAACTGGATTTATTCGACTCCGTGATAACTTAAACCAACACGGTGATAATTTACAAAACGGGGGACAAGACGCGCGGATTAAATCAGTCTTTCAAGATAGACCGTTGCAGGTAATCGTGGTAACGCAGGAATTCCTGCAGAGGACACTTGGACCTGCTGTACCAATCGGACAGCGAATTCTGCATCCTGGGTTCCCTCTGCCTGTGAAGGAACTCGCAGAGATTGCACGAGACGTGTCGGACGCTGTTGTCGATTTTGTAATACCTCTTCCAGGCGAAATACTCGCCGTACGCTCGCGGATTCTGCATCAGCTTCTTCAAATATTCAGCCAGGTCCCTCGGCGTGTCGAAGTCGAGCGCGTCTATGTAGGATCGCGGCGGAGCGAAGAGGCTGTAATTGGCGCCCCCGTAGACGATGGGAACCACGTTGTATCTGAAAGCAGAACCGAAACAATACCCTTTGTTTAGCTACCCTTTGACCATGGCACCTTTTGCTCCTCTGCCCGTCTCGAGCGGGCAGAAAAATAAGGAGCAATTAGACGCGAGTGTCGCGCGAATGAGATAACAAGACGAGTCAATTGGAAGGTCGGTGTGTCATCTTGCTCTCCGCCTTGACACGATAATCGAACACGATCGGAGCAGTAAACCTCTTCATCTCGAGTTAGAGCTATAGATCACGGGATCTATAGCTTCCTCGATCGTACGTTTCCGATCCTGCGAGTGATCTTTGGGAAGGAACGACAGGTGAGACATGTCTGTCAGGGGAAGATCACTCGCAGCTCGGTCACGCGTCGAAGCGATTGAACGCGGATTCGGAGCTGCGAAAGCGGCTGAAATTGGCACATTGCGTACCGCATAGAAATCTCTAAGACTTACGCCGGGGACCGCGCGTTTTAGAAAACACAGTGCGTTGACATCTAAGGTCCGTAACAGATGGCGCGCGAAACACGAGAAAACTCGTGGGCGGTACGCAATGCGTTAGGAACCCGAGCTAGCTGTGCCTAACGATGTCATCGTCGAGAACGTTCCATGGCCATTGTTTTACCTGAGAGCATTGTACAGCTTCTCGGTTACGTAATCGACGCACAGCGAGTTCTCGAACGACAGGTGGAAGAAATAGTCGGGCTCTACGACCTGCGCGTAGCACTCCTTGGTGGATAGACACTGCTTGCTGCCGCATTTCCCATAAATGTCCACGGGTATGTGCTTGGACAGCTCGTTCACGTACTCCTGCCGGCCGCTTTTTGCCTGACAGTTGCTCACGAACCAGACTATAGGCCTGGATTTGCCACTGATCGTCTTCAATAGCGACGAGTCCTCGTGGGTCATCGGTCGGTCACCTGTGCGAACGAATCGTTGCTTCGATGACGAGATCGATCACTCGGATGCAAGTGTTGCGGATATCGTAAAGCCTGATTAACTATCCAACAGACCGCGTAATATTTGCCAGAACCGTTTTCGATACAGGGTCAAGTGTATTATAGCGCGTTCGAGGAAAGAAGACACAGTGTGTTTACATCCTCACGGGAGCTAATTAACTCCGCTGACACTCCCATGATCACTGGCAATGGTCGCTACTGGCCGAAGACGGTGACAGAGGTCCTGGATGTAAACACACTGTGCCTTCTTTTCTCGAACGCACAGTACCGCGGGAAGCTTGGCGCCAGACATTTGGCTACGATCGTGCAACGCCCTGCTTCGCGACGGCGAGTCTAGCACGTTTATTTCTGGACCTTAGAGTATTTTGGGTCAGCTGTCGTTTCTCGCAATACAGTTGCGTGCCGAAGGTCATTGAGTGCATGTGCGTCACTGTCGTTGCATTCCCAAGGTCTTATATGCATTTTTCTCGGGAAATTAATCGAGGGTAAAGAAAAATTGGGAGTACAGAGAATAATGGTGGACGAAGCAGATTGACAGCGAGCAGACGTCTTGCGGTGGTAACGACACACGATCGGTACGTGGTGGCCGAAAGTTCGCAGCAACGATTCTGCGAACGTGACCTGGGTGAATAGCGCGGCAGAGGCGGAAATACGCGGACGTTGAAGGCAGCTAATTTGCAACGGTTAATAAAGTCATCGGCGACAGTTTAATTAGCAGGATTTCGCGGTAGGTTCGCGCGTTGCGCAACGCGATTACGCAAAAGAATTGTCACGGCCTGCGGCTATCCTTTGCCCTCGCTCCCGTGACTTTCCAGCCTTTTCTCCGCTATCCCGTCTCTCCTGCCGCTTTTCCGAGGAAAACCACACGCGATAACCATCGGCTCGACTCGACTCGCGCGCGTAACTTCGATGAGCTATCGACCTAGCGTCCCCGTTTCCGCTAATTGCACGCACCCACGCGTTCCGTTTTCACCTCCCTTTTCACCCCCATTTTGCATTCCGTTTTACCCTCGATATCGATTACCGTGATCTCGTCGGAACTCCAATGGCCGTATCGTTCTTCCTCCGCGAGTTTCCCTGGGTCGTTCGCGAGTCGTTGCGACCGTTTTCCAGCTCGTCCCACGCGGCAAGCTAGGAAGGAACTCGCTAACCCGATGGCAATCCACACACCGGCGAATAATCGGGTTCTTTGTCACGACAAGCGGGAGCGGTCTAGAGATCCGGAAATAATTACGTCCCGCGACGAATACCAAGTTCGCAGGAAGAACAATCCTGCGACGTTCCAACGAACAACGCGCTACTATAGCAAACTGCTCGATCAATTCGGTGACCAAGAAATACCAAAGACGATCGTGTTCTCCTTTTTGAAGTTACCTGGTGGACGATGAACCATGTCCCAAGTAGTGTTCTGCAAAGGCGCCACGATATTTCCGGTGTGTACGTCTGCCACGGTTGCGTAGGTCCACAGGACATCGCTATCTAACCTGTACGTCATCGTGATGTTGAAGAAATCATCGTAGATGGGGCTGACGAGCGGCCTGTTGGCAGGACTCTCCAGGTTCACGAAGACGTACCACTGTCTCGAGGTCCTGTACTTTGGCAGGTCGAAGTACTCGAGCTCGTTGGCATGAAACAGGACGACGTCGAATTCTGTCAGGTCCACGTAACTTCTGTCGTGCGTGGCGTAGCAATTGTTCACGGGACAGTCGCGAAATATGTCCCCTTTTCCCATGTAGAAGGTCTCGTCGCCGAACATCGTGTTCCAGAACAGGATCTTCCTCGTCACGTTCATCACTCGTTGATCTGTCATAAAATTGCGCCTGAAATACAGGATGTCGCCGATCCTGCAGTCGAAGTAGAATGACAGAATGTAGAGGGTGAAGGTGAGGATCAGGACTGAGATCAGTGTGGTTCTTCCGAGTGTCCATAATTTCATTTCCACGTGGAGCTTGTCCTCGTGACTGAAACCAGAGCGATCCTCGTTTATACTGCTCGTTGCATCGGTCTATCCCGAGATTTCTAGCCGGGAATAATCCCGAAGCATCCTTCGATTTCTTGCATCCTACCTTTGTTCTCTCCTGCGGTTTCAAACGCGACAGGACGATCGTCGAACGGGATATCTTCGATGTCCCCACGAGAACTTCCACGCGTTTTCAACTTTCGTCCCGGTGTCCTACAAACATCCATTTCGCAATTCACGTAGCCTTGAAAACACGCGTACACACGCGTAAACACTCGGAAACGTAGTATAACTTGCAAACATATCAGTTCCAATTTAGTTAGTAGAAGAATGAGAAGGAGCACAAATTTGTCTCAATGGAGAACACGTGACTCGAGAATTACAATGGCGGTGGATCGAAAATTATGTCGACTACCTGGTCCTTGGCAAACTAACTGAGCTATCGATAAAGATATTTATCTTTCGTTATTAGCATAAAGATAAAATAGTAATGTTTAACGCGACGTTCGTTCGCACATTTAAAGCAAGCTACTGCGCAGCCTTACGTTCCGTTTAACACCGAGCAGTAAACTGAAAGCAATTGTTCATTAACTTGGAATCTCGACTTAGTTCGTCGACTACTTGCTGCCAATTTATGGCTACTAAATTCTGTTTGATATTCCGAACATTTTAAATAACCTTATAATTATTCCCCGTTAAATATCTCGTAGTACCGTTTCGAGACTTGGCTTCGGCACTCTGTTTATGCTTCTCTCAACATCTTGGAGACTATTTTCGATACTTCGACCTTGTAATGGAGAAAAGTAAGTTCGTGCCAAGCATGCGCAGTCTACGCGATATGCGCGTTAGAAACGAGCCCCAGAAATGTATCAAGGCCGTACGATGACTCGCGATTAATTTCGAATGTTAATTTAACGATCGAATATTGAAATTGGAAATGCTAGAACCGCGATTCGCTAAAGGATTACCGATAATTCGTCATACGACCCTGTAATCATATCCGCCTGAATACCTCACGATACCAAAAATAGTTAAAAAATATATTATTCAGTATCGTATAACGTAAGATCGATTTCCCCTAGAATCGCTGCGATCCGTGTCAGAAACCGATCCTTATTCGAACAGCGCTCGACCGAGTCGAAGAAAGCCGATTACCTTGCAAAAAATGGAGAATTTTGTTTACTATTCGCGAATATATTTCAAGTTTATTAAATTTTATTAAACGAGACAGAGAAACGCAAACAATATACGTCAATTAACACCGAAAGATTCGCTTTAATTCGCACGCACGTGACACACCGCTGTGATAGTACCGCATTTTTCGAATTATATTTTCGACCTGTAATACGTCTGCTCCGTACGATTTCTACATCGCGAGATACCATGGGGTTATGAGTCATATCAAATTCCTGACATGCTAACAGCTTACGCGCTTCTTAACAAACTAACTTTATACGCAATTACTCCGGCTAACGCGTAGGACAGGCACCAACCCAATTACCTAGTACCTGGAAACGATAAAGAATTCCGCATTCTCCAATCGCACCGTTCTCTCTAGTTCCTTCCGTTTCGTGTTCCGCACCCGCGCGTGTCGACGACTGAGGGGGATACGGCAGAAAGAGAGAAAAAAATGGGTCACAATGTTAGGAATAACTGTAAATGATGTATACATGAATATAAAGTCGATAAGATAGCATGCGAGCCATGTATGAAGTGTACGCAGGCAGACAGACAAGCGTGACATGTGCTGTCCTAACATATACCTACTTACCTCGTTCGTGTATATGTATACATAGACCGTATTACGAAGAAAGTAGAGAGAACGATAAAATCGGATAAGTTTATTTAATGAAATAAAATCGCGATTAGCACACGAGGCTGTCAGAGGTCCTCGGATCGAGCTTCCACTTCGATTTCCGGTGTATCGCGCGCGAAATCGTTGGATGACTTTTGTTTCGAGACACCGCTAGACACCATTGGCCTGTACGCGGGGAAAATTCGAAATTTACGAGACCATGTAAATGGGGAAGTTTAGCATGCACTGGGAACCGGTCGGGACGCTCGCGCTTCGTGGAAATTTGGTCCATCGAGACGCGATTGTATCGCGCGGAACGCGTCGAATGCAAAAAGGGGGACTCCGTTTCCGGCGGAGGATCGAGGATGGAAAGGACGATGGAAAGGACGATAAAGCCGGTGATTGATGGTTCACCATAGCCGCGGCGCGTTCAACGTGGAATCCGAATGTGGGGCACAGGTGTTCGATGAAGGAATTTGTCGCGAATCGTCGCGTGCTCGCAGTTTACTCTCTGAAAGTCTCATAAATTTCGCGTTTCCATCTCGGTTGCCCTCTCGTCCCTCTGTGTCTGCTCATCGCGTCATCGTCCCGTCAATCACCCGCCGCTGTCGCTCTTTTACTCCTCGATCCTAATCCCGGCTGTCTTCCACGATCGATTTTCCTTACTCCTCGCGTTCACCGCGCGTCTGGTCCCCGGGACTCGAGCCTTCCGATTTTTCCCGCAATTTCAATGCGGCTCCCGGGTCACCGGGTCAGCGATAAATAGCCGGACAAGCCGATCGAAACGGAAAGCACAGCGAACAGTTGCAAAGGCGTGTCGACGGAAGTCACGTAGAGGTTGGAGTACCGCGAATCACGCGACTACCGACTGAACCAGCAGTTGTAAGCCGACTGGTCGAATGCGACGTGCACGCTGTTGTGTCTATGCTAGTCCCAAAGGAGCCACCTCGAGTGCCAACTAGTACCTGGAAACGATAAAGAATTCCGCATTCTCCAATCGCACCGTTCTCTCTAGTTCCTTCCGTTTCGTGTTCCGCACCCGCGCGTGTCGACGACTGAGGGGGATACGGCAGAAAGAGAGAAAAAAATGGGTCACAATGTTAGGAATAACTGTAAATGATGTATACATGAATATAAAGTCGATAAGATAGCATGCGAGCCATGTATGAAGTGTACGCAGGCAGACAGACAAGCGTGACATGTGCTGTCCTAACATATACCTACTTACCTCGTTCGTGTATATGTATACATAGACCGTATTACGAAGAAAGTAGAGAGAACGATAAAATCGGATAAGTTTATTTAATGAAATAAAATCGCGATTAGCACACGAGGCTGTCAGAGGTCCTCGGATCGAGCTTCCACTTCGATTTCCGGTGTATCGCGCGCGAAATCGTTGGATGACTTTTGTTTCGAGACACCGCTAGACACCATTGGCCTGTACGCGGGGAAAATTCGAAATTTACGAGACCATGTAAATGGGGAAGTTTAGCATGCACTGGGAACCGGTCGGGACGCTCGCGCTTCGTGGAAATTTGGTCCATCGAGACGCGATTGTATCGCGCGGAACGCGTCGAATGCAAAAAGGGGGACTCCGTTTCCGGCGGAGGATCGAGGATGGAAAGGACGATGGAAAGGACGATAAAGCCGGTGATTGATGGTTCACCATAGCCGCGGCGCGTTCAACGTGGAATCCGAATGTGGGGCACAGGTGTTCGATGAAGGAATTTGTCGCGAATCGTCGCGTGCTCGCAGTTTACTCTCTGAAAGTCTCATAAATTTCGCGTTTCCATCTCGGTTGCCCTCTCGTCCCTCTGTGTCTGCTCATCGCGTCATCGTCCCGTCAATCACCCGCCGCTGTCGCTCTTTTACTCCTCGATCCTAATCCCGGCTGTCTTCCACGATCGATTTTCCTTACTCCTCGCGTTCACCGCGCGTCTGGTCCCCGGGACTCGAGCCTTCCGATTTTTCCCGCAATTTCAATGCGGCTCCCGGGTCACCGGGTCAGCGATAAATAGCCGGACAAGCCGATCGAAACGGAAAGCACAGCGAACAGTTGCAAAGGCGTGTCGACGGAAGTCACGTAGAGGTTGGAGTACCGCGAATCACGCGACTACCGACTGAACCAGCAGTTGTAAGCCGACTGGTCGAATGCGACGTGCACGCTGTTGTGTCTATGCTAGTCCCAAAGGAGCCACCTCGAGTGCCACGGTGGGGGAACTATCGATGAGTGGAATGTTACAAACACGCCATCGTCCTTTTACCACGATCGATGGCCCTTGGCACGATCCTTCGCGTCCCTGCTATCTATCCGACCACACCGAGTGCCAATATTTCAATTAGAAATATGGGAAAATAAAAAAATACCCGAGCCTTTTTAACAAAATCCCCATCTACCGATCTACTATCAACAACGAACACCGTCTATCGATCTACCGATTTGCTGCGCCTAGAAATCGCGACTGCTCGGCGGCTCGCGTGTGGGAAAGTGAAACGCTCGCGAGAATCGCCCAGGTCACTGGAAAATGCTGGGCAGATCGCGCCACATCCTCCTCCTGCGTTTCCTTAACCGCCGTTTCCTTTGTTCGCTGAATATTTATAACACCTCGGGAGGGGGGGAACGGATATACTTATTCCCGTTTCGACGAACTGGAACGGATTAAGCCGCGGAGGGAATAGTAACCCGAGCATGTGCTCGAAGACAACGCGTCTCGCGCGGAAGCGAATGTAAACCGGAAGGCGACGATCGGATCGGAACGATCGAGACGATTTCATCGACCGATCGCCGGCGAAATTGAAAGGCGCGTGGAATATGCTCGCGAGGCGCGATTAAGAGGCTTTCCGCGAGGAAATGGAGCGACTCAGGGGTGTATAACTTGACTGCCTTATATCGCGCGATCGTAAAACTTGCCTCCTCGCAATCGCTTTCGAACGACACCGGGACTCGTAGGGACGGACGATGATAAAAGACAGAGAGTCACGTGTGCGCGATGTCGTGATTTACGAAAGGAACTGCTGACGACGCCTCGAGATGCCTTAACGATCATGTTGCATCGCATTCTTTTCGATTTGTCGAGCGGCTAATGAAATTTCGAGAAGGTCGAGAAGGAAAGATTCCCTGATATCTAGGATAAAAGAAATCGATTTTAAAAATTTTCTTTTTTATTTGAGGTAAGGTACGCGTTTTCAAGAATATTTTACGTGAATGTTAAATTCGAACTCTTGGAAATAACGGAGTTATCGCTGTTTCGATGAGATGGTGACGGGGAACGCGTATTCCTCGAAACTGTGTTTCTCAAAACGGTGTCCGCGATGTCTCGAAAAGTGCTTGACAGATTATCACGAAACTTTGCACACGTATTCAGTATATCGGCAACTACGACTCCTACTAAAATCACGCAAAAATTCACATTCCTTCTATCCGTTTCATACTTGTATATTTAAAAAGAAAGTAGAAAAATCGATAAGATACATTCGAAGTGCCGCCATTTGTTTATTTACCGATATTTTTTGTTTCCTTTAGTACCAGTCATAGCTGTACTCGTATTTAACAGGAATTCAGTTGAGCGTTTTATATCAGATACCAGGAAGAGTGTAAATTACGTACACCATCGATAACGAATTTTTAAGAGTCCCAAATCAAACAACGACACGTGACACCGGCAATTTTCAATTTTTCCTACCATAAAATGCAACACGCGTAGTCCAAGACCACAAACAAACCCTGTTAATTTCAAAACATAAGCCATTCCGTTAATCATTCCGTTGCGACAATGTCTCCAAAATGTTGGAAAGAATCATGCCATAAAATTGTAACTCGAGAACGCTATCTTTTTCTCCCCGGACCATGTCGTACTAAATTGTACCAGGCACGACAGAGATATGCTAAGTGTGTCAAATGTTAGTATGCCAATTGTCAAATACCTGGAATAGGCGAGTTATACGCAGGAATAGGTGCGAAATAGAGCTCTATTTATCGCGTACCAATGTTTATTATACACTAGATAAAATACGACAAACGACTTACGACGTTTACACTGGTCGTCTCATAATCGACTCTCGAATCATTCCTCGATGACTCCTCGGAACCAACTCCCGACTCTCATCCCTTAAGCATCCCTTTTATACTCATACAGGTCACACACTTATATACCATGTGTATTATCGAGTAATTTTATTTCCAAAAAATTCCACGTGTATAGTAGGAACTCGTTTGTACTTCTCGCGTCACCGATAATCTAGCGTAAACATTCTCTAGATCCACTGTCGCACCCCGATGATCGCTCGATCCTCTGCTACGCGGTTCCGACACTCACCACTAGCATCGACGATCGCTCGATCCGCTGCCATACGTGTACTTCATACGTGTATAAAAATCATAATTGCATGTTTGCAATCGTTGAGAGGTATAACAAAAATTCCGACGAAGGAATTCGTCGATTGTTTAATATCCGCGGAATTGTGAATTTATTCGGATCCATAAATCCTACAGATCGCGTTTCGAGCTAAATCTATCTTTATCGATAAATTGTACCGCTATCGTATTCATGACCGGTACGATATAGCTACACAGGTGCTGCGAGAGTCGGAGGTTCCGAATGACTCATCGCGATACGCCGATGCTGCGCGACACTGTCACCAAAAGAGTGATCGATTCGTACAGAAAGGGAGATTATTCGGCGAAATTTTTACGCAATTCGAACCACGAGTTCAGGATACCACTAATTAGCAATTGGTCTTCGCGTTGGAAACGACGACTCGCACTGGAAGCTCGTTCTCGCGGTCACGGGTGTCAAAAAGTTTCGCCTCTAGCCACGTGGAACGAGTCCGACATTTCCACAAAGCTTATCGTTTAGGAAACTGGCGGACAGAACTAATGGATAACCTTCCTAAGCGCGTTGTCACGGCACGATAACCGCAGATACGGAAAGAGATTAAGACTGTAACTGAGCATGATAGACGCAGTATTGAATTCGATACTCGAGAGATTACTTGTATTCATTCTCTCCACTCATTCCCAAAGATTGAAAGCTTGTTTGAGTTTAGGTTTTCGAATAACTAAGTACACCGCAACTTATTAAGCAAAAACATTTATTAAAAGAAAAGAAAGCGAAAAATAACTTAAATAAATAGAAAGAACAAAAAAAAATTCTTTGGCCTTTTTATATCACACACTTTCAGCACCAGCACCAGTACCAGGCATACACGAGCACGTGGCTATCCTCACTCCTCACTCACTCCCCCACGATACGCACTGCCACATGGCATCGAAGCACGATTACCACGCTAACAAAGCATGAGTCAAAATTTATTCCTCTACTAACAGTTTATTTCCTTAACCCTTTCGCTACTACGGGCGACTATAGTCGCTCTCCATAAAATGTCACGTATTATACATACGACGAGCATCTGCAGTTATTGCACATCAACTACCTCACTCTGGACATGCAGCGTGAGTATTTTGTTTTGCTATAGTATTTTAGTATTTTGTTATATTTGTTTATTACGGACCTCGATACTCAGCAAACCAAATGCCTCTGACGATCGGTCTCGCGGCTCGTTCTGCGGGAGTACCACGGCGGAGAGTCTGCCCGTAGCTAAAGGGTTAACTACTATTCCATTTTTCCATTTTTTCTAATTTATTCCTTTATTACCAGCGTCCCACGACTCGTACACACCTTGGCCCCCAAAAACACCCACTCGAGCTAATTTTTAATAAAAGATTGAAAATCCTGTGAGAAGAGTCTTTATTTGGATGGCGTTACCCTGCATCGGGATCTATGTTTGCCTCGAGGAACCATCAAGCTTATCAATTTTGGAAGCAGGACTGAGTGACGCAATGGGTCGTCATAGGGTCTATAAGAACCTAGCTGATGGGTTCGAGGAAACGCTTTCTGACAACCCACCGTTTGCATTACGCGTCGCACAAGACTCAAGCCTCCGCGTATTTGTATTGTAAGAGAATAAAATATAATCAAAGTTTAAAGTTAAATCTCTATAAACCTATTCCTTTACCACAAAAGTTCAGTTTTATAAATTCGATCTTTACTACAATTGTAAATTTGATATACTAATTAACATCCATCCTTAGAATCTGATTAAATGGCGACTGAGAGGCGCTTCTCGAGTGCGAAGGGTTAAAATCTCCTACAACCGTCTGCACCGCGTATTACAGAAGACTTCGAGCCTCCGTTTATTTTATACCGCCAAGAAATATAAAATATAATCAGAATCAAAAGTCCCCTTTGATTTATTAATCCGATCCTACCACATATATAAAATTACTTTTTTACATTTTTCATTACACGCCACGGTGTTTTCGGATATAAAAAATCAGGACATTTTTTCGACCTGAATTCGTAATTTTACCACACTGCGAGAGGATTAAGTGGGTGTTGCAGTGACTTCGTGGAAGCGAAGCCTAGAAAGAGTTTCCAGCGCGGATTTATCGCAGCTTTGTATAAACGCAGATACGATATTTTGTCGATGCGACTCACGTGTCCGCTGGGACGAAACGAGATACGAGGTTCCACTGGCATAATGCACCGATTCATCGACAGAGGAGGCGTATACCGGTCGAATGTTCAGATAATTGCATCGCGCGCTGAATATCACGGTGTATGGCAAGATGCGTAATGCCGAATTGGCGTAATGGCGGCGATCCTCTTCTTTCCGCGCGTGTTTCCGGTAGATGCAGCCTCGAGATGGCTTCGACGGTTTCCTCTTCCAGTCGAACGGTCAACCAACTGCCCTCTCGCTTCACCCTTGACCAATCCCGCAACTTTCCCAAAGGATTTCTCCACTGCTATGACTCGCGGTCGCCCGCTTCCTTTTCCACTTCCTCTTCCTCCTGCACTTCGTCTTCTTTTCGAAACTTCTTCCCCGCCGATCGCGCGTTTCTATTTCAATCGGCGGGGGAAGAGCTTCGCGAAACATCCTTTGACCTATGGCGCAACGCGAACGTCGATGGCTCGCGATGCAAATAGCCTGGTAATAATAGGAACGGTAATGGTAATAAATATCGGAACATTTAGCGCGGGAAACAGGTGTATTACGGGCAAGGTCGTGCAATATTTAGGGCGGTATTCATGTCGAATGACGTGGTCGCCGATAATACATCTCGGGTTATTAGCGAAACCGAGACGGGATGTTCCGGTGGATCGAACGAGCCGGAAAAGCGATCGCCGGGTATCGATATCTCGAAACGTCCCGTTTCCATCGGATATCGCATAAATACGAAAAACAGCTGGCTAATAGCGTTTTCTGTCTGCGCAGCCCTGTCCGACCGACCGATGTTCGCTGAGCCAATACCGAACGTCACTGTGCCACTGGGAAGAGACGTCAGCTTGCCTTGCGTCATTGAAAACCTCGGTAATTACAAGGTAATCGCATCGAAATACCTACCTGCATGCCGTAACGATGTCATCGATTTCACAATCTCTACCGATGTTGTAACTCGGCCCGATTTTCCAACGAAGGCTCATCCTCGTCACGATACTTCCTCTCCTATTGTCATAGCGAATCGCATAGAATCGAGTCAACCGATTGTACCCCAAATTCGTATACCTCTTTAGAATTATTTTCTAATTTTATTTTCTTAGAATTATATTCTAATTGTTATTTTCTTTCAGCATTATTTTCCTTTAGAATTATTCTCCAAATTAACGTCCAACGAGATTTTTGTAATTTTTGTAATGGCGCGTGCGAGTCGCCGATAAACTCGGGCGTAACGGAAGGGAAAGTAGGCGAGTACCGGCGCGCAGTCGCCGGTTCAGCTTGCACTCGGTTCGAATTTTCAGCCGGAGCTATCTCGCGAGAAGTTTGCGGCACAGCCGGGGCCCGGCGCTTACGTAAGCCACGTCCGTGGCTCCATTATTACGCAATGTCGTGGATAAATAATAAATGCCACCGCAGACGTTGTAACGCCGCCGCGTTCTAAAATATTTACGCTATCTGCTGCCGATGTATCGATTCCCCCTCCGGCCTGTCCCACCGAGGCAAAATATCCGCTGCTCCTGCCGGGGCGTTTTGTCGCGGTGTGCACGCTCGGAATCCTTTTTATTGCAAGGATTTTAATGGAACGACGCGCACGAAGGAGCCGCCTGGATCGAACATCGCTCCAGGCTCTTGTCGAGGAGGACGTGAAAGCCGTTTTCAAAGCGAATAAACACGTGTCACCGCGCGGAACGCCCTCGTACCTCGCGAGCGTGAAAGATGCTCCCTGTCGAGGACAACTTTCATTTTTAACCCCGCTATGCCGCGCATGAGCGTTTCATTAACGATCCTGCCATCGTTTTATACCCCGACCTACGTGTACCCTCGGAATGGAAACAGGTTAATCTTCGCAGCCGATCGTTTAAACGTCTCCGAGCATTATCAGGCGCGTAAAGACCGGGAGCGGGGAAGATCGCCGCGATAATTCATCCGTTGGTCGTTGCTGGTACGCATGGCCATCGATTAGGAGGATAGAATAGCCTGGAGATAAGAGGGGAAGGCAAAGAGGACGAGTCGCGTAGCGATAAAGGAGATAGCGGAATAAAAAGAAATGAAAGAGGGAAAAGAAAAAGCTTATTACGAGAAATGTTTGCATCGGTGTACGCGATCGGGATAATATACGCGGAGCGCAACGCGTGTTTCACATTATTCTAGCATTTAGCAGTTTCGCGGTCGTAAATCATTAAACGAGGAGAAAGAACAAAGGATGAACGGTGGTCGGAGCGAGACGAGGAGCGAGCGGAAGCGGAGTGCCGCGTGGGTCGCCGATGTTCTCTTCATCGTCCGTATCGATCCTCCCCGTCGATCCTCTCCGCCTGCGATTACACTCCGTTACACCGGCAGATGCCTGCGTTATTAGCATTACCGCGATTCCGACGAATGCCTGGGCTCCTGTTCGTCGGCGTGTCGATAATTTCCGCCGGTTCTTTTACACCGTGGATCGCGATCTCCGCGGTCCAGGGGCGGATTCTTCGGCGTGGTCCGAGGCCACCGGCTGCCTCCCGTGGACTGGCATCGATGGAGCGTCGTTGTGTAACCGCCGTCATGGACGCCGACGCCGTAGTCGCTATTGGAAACGCATCAGTTGTCCCGTGGAAGAGTTCGATACTCGTAGCCACGAGGGCCGCCCGCGGCGCCGTCGATTCGCGCGGACAAACGTATCGGGGAACCAGTCGAGCGATCGTCGACGAGCACGAAGCGAGCACGAAACGAGCACCGTAGGCTGAAAAACTGCGGGATCAATCGCGGGCCCCCTGTCGAGGATCCTTTGTACGTCGGTCGAGGGACGGGGATCGAGATGGCCGATCTTTGTCATCCGTGGACGTCGACTCGGTCAATATCGGCGTCTTAGAAGCGGATCGGAGCGTGTGGCAGCGATGGATGCGCGAAGACTATTTTAAATACGGGAAATTAGCCGCGGAGAGGGAAAAAAGGGAGGAGGACAGGGTTCGGCTATTCGGTTAGATTTAACCCTTTGCACTCGAGAGATGACCGTCAGTCACCGTTCCATAGAATTTGGAAGATCGATATTAATTGATATATCAAATTTAACGCAATGTAACAGTGTGCGAGGTATCGAAATCAAATAATTCTACAATTGTTTATTTACTGCTGAAAAAGGTATCGTCAGTTTTTTTAGTAGAGAATCTTTGAATCTCTGGTCTTCCCTAGCGAAAAAATCGTCGGGTACAAAGGGCTAAATTCGGAGTGGCCCGGAGTGCTGGTAAATATTTTGCGCGGCCAGCCGGTATAAAAGAATTCGCCGCGATTTTTATTTACGTTTAATTCGATCGCTGCCGCGTCGCTAGACGAATTCTCTGCCCGTATTCCGTCGAGTAACTCGAACCTCGATCGACCGCGAATCAATCACGGCTCGTTTGCCCTTGCAGTTATTACGTTACAGTCGCAATAAATTTTTTCCCCGCACGCCGTTTTATCGTTATCCGAAACTTGGCGATTACTTTGCAGCGATAAAAATGAAACGGGAGAGATCGATGCGAAATTTCGTTAATTTCGTTCAAACCGGCGATAACAAACGCGTCGCCCGGGAGACCGTGCATTCTGGCTCGACTGGCCAGAGCCTGAAATTGATTTTGCTAAAACGATAAACAAAATAGAATTTCCGAAACGGACAAACAAAACAAATAAACGTGCGATTTACAAATGTACTTAAATGATTTTTGCTCTGCACCATTTTCCCGCGGTCTGTAACCCGCAAACTTTGTAGCCATTGTTAGTTTCGCGTTGTTAATTTGAACCTAATATTAATACCTAAAATTGCAGTATGCTCACCGATCTTTCGAACCCCTACGAGTAGTACCAAAATGGCGTGCGATATATGCGAAGACGCGATGCAACTCCAGTAGATCGGTTTGCGATACGATCGGCGCTCGATGTCTGGCTGTAACAAGAGCATTCGAAGAGGCAGATGGCAAACGATACGTCCGTGCTTCGCACGAGAAAATCGCGAGAACGATAGTTCTCGGCCGCGGTCCCGTTATCGCGAAGAATTTCGCGTAATTGCGTGGCCGGCAGCGTGATCGAGCACCGCTGCGAGGTAAATGGGAGCGGCACGTGTTCCGGACCGGTTCGAAACTTCCGCCGTGTCCCGTCTGCATGTCTTCCACGCACGTGCACGTGACTTCACGCGGAACCGCGCGGAAGACGCTCCGGGTCGGTCGGAGGCGCTTATTAGTCCGAGCCAATTACTCCGCGAGTTCCTGCACGACAACGTGCCCTGCCCGGAAAATTGCCACTCTCGGCAGCCCTCTTTCCCACGGACGGCATTCCGATCCTTCCCTTGTTCCACACAGTGAGTGCCCCGTAAAATCACAGGAAATCTGATTTTGACATGACCGAGGTTTAAATCGACGTGTAGTCTGAGAATCTTTTCACTTCGTTCCGCTTTGACTTTGTTTGCGATACTAATTGCAGTGGAAAGTCATTTTCGAACATTTTTTTTACGAAAAATTGCTATTCTTGGCAGCCCTCTTTAAAACTTTCCCTCGCAATGGGTGCCGCAATGGGTGCCCCGTGGAATCGAAGGAAATCTGATTTTGACATGGCCGAGGTACGAATTCCACGTGTAATCTGAGAATCTTTTTACTTGACTTCGCTTTAACTTCGTTTGCGGTACTAATTACAATAGAAAATTTTTTGTAAGTAAAATTGATTTTGAGTTACAAGTAACTTTAATTTGCTCTGGTTGGCTAATAAATCCTACGGTGTACATGAAAAGATATTGTTTCTGAATCGAAATTTAATATGGCGACTGAATTGACGTGCCAAGTGAAAATTTCGAAAATGGAAAAATATTTGTACGTGAAAATTTAATTTGTATCGTAAAATATCTTAATCTACCAATTTTCTCTTACACCGTCTCCTACATTCATCTCTATTTATTTCTCCTTTCCTTCTAATTCGAAGAATTTTAGGAGACTCGTGTAAAATTAAGCAGCCATTTTCCAGCGTCGAGTGGAGATGAAAATCTGGAGATCTCTGAGCAAATGTAAATTAATTTACTCCTCGAATGGGTCTTGGAAAAATCAGATGTGACAAATGTAAAATAGATGTATAAACGGGAATTAGAGGAACGCTGGTTGGTGGGCGGTTAATAGTCACGGTGATGGTAATTCATTATACGTAACTCGAGCAACGGGATGAAAGTGAACGAATTCCGGCGGCGGAAGGCAGAGAGGTAGCTGGCGTTGCGAGGCTGGAGAAGAATTTTAATAATTCGGCTGATCCAGTTTTATGAAAGACGAGACGAGCGTTACAATGCCGCGACAATAAACCGTAAAGCCTGTCCGCGTTTACAGCTTCGTCCATTATCCCGGCGAATCATAAAGATGTTTGCTAGTCTGCTACGTTCCGCGAATAAAACTCTCTTCCCTGCTCAATTTCAGCGGTCAAAATCGGCGAGTGCGGATGTCGATCTTGCGGGATCCGATCGAGGTGATCGAGAAATAGAAGAAACTTAGAAGGAACCTTCAATCCGGTCCTATTTCTCGTTTGTTCGCGGAGAATTTGACATGTCTCGGGACTCGAAGAATCCTTCAGAGATCTTCTTCATCTACGTGCAAATCGTTTGAAAATCGAAGTCATCCTGACACAGTCATCGCGCATCGTGTGTTCATTCTTTCCACACATTTATAAACATCGAAAGCCCGAGTCAAGGGGATAACAATTTGTTTCTTTACGACCAGCGTACCACGATTCGCGGATACCCAAGTAGCTCGATACCATCCGAGCTATCTCTAATGAAAAGATTAAAATTCCTCAGGAACGAAAAACAAATTTGCCGAGTTTGTTTAACCTGTGATCCAGCACCTTCTAGAATAGAAATCCTGGACCTACTAGAATGTCCCAGCAAAGAAAAATCGCAGCT